GGATAGAAAACGCCATGTTCACATTTGCCTTTGCAGAGGCACACTTTATTTTTAATTGTAGAGCATCACTATCTGAATTCATCGCTGCAACAATAATTTCATACTTTTTAAAACAGTCACTCCGCCACTTCCAGTATCACTATGCTTCTAATTGGATTTAACAAGAGGGGTTATGTTAATTTCCTCGTACTTGTAGTACGGAGGACATATTCCCTCTCTCTTGAACGTTATTACAGCAGGTGTTGAAAATTGTCGAGCGCAGTGTTAATTTCGGAGTCGTCAAAGTGACACCACTGAGCTTGGGAATCGTTTGGGGCTCATTACCACGGACTGCTGAATCCATTGGCAGGGCCCCCGCATGACTGTGCAGACACTTCTCCTGCCTAGCCGTCAGATAGACGCAATGATCAGGGGGGTTAACAGATGCTGCTCGGCCTTTGAGGTCACATCCACTCTGGTCCCCCTGTTGGGACTCAGGCTGAGCAGAGCGAACGCAACAACATGTCCACGCACAAGTCGGGCCGCTTAGAGGAATGTTTTCATGCCGCAGAGACCCTCCAAACGCTCCCGCACAGTACACAGCGGAAACAAATCCAAGCGGCAGTTTGTGAAATTCATAACCTGAGGTCAAAGGTCCGGTGAAGCATGAATTCCCCTCTCCTGTCATTTTTTCCCTTTTTTTTTTCTTTTCCTCCTGCTGAAAATGGATGTGTACCGAGAGCTTTGAAAATCTGTCTACTGCGCATTTGACTCGCTCAGAGCGAGCTGTTCCAATGCGTGGTAATGAGGAGCGAGCAATTAACTGGGCCTTACCAGGAGGAAGTGCACAACAAAGGGGGGAGGAGAAGACAAAGGAAGACAGCACAATTCTACGAACTGCACTGAACTATTTCTGCTTCGCAGGCCTGGGCGATTTAAGACGACTTGATATTTATAGGGAAATTGGGTCATTGCAGTAATAAGGACCACAACACATGACGTCAAGCCCAATAAATGAAAGAAAAGACACAATACCTACGGCTCCTCATAGTGGTTGGATTCATATTAGTAAGGAAGAAATTGTACCTGTTGTGCCTGTAGATCTATTTCAGATATTCTGCTGCGATTGTTTAGTTTTTCTTTAATTGAGGAGGATTAACAATAGTGCAGATTCAAATGGGTGGCAGCGCATGGTTACTCAAGAAGCATCATAGTATCAGTATTGGTAAGAGTGGTTAGTTATAGATGGCTAACATACATGTGTTACTGTAATTCACCTATATGTGTCTATTTTTAGTTTATTTTTAAATCTTAAAATATTTAAGAATTTAATTCCTGTATCGATTGATCGGTCATACCGACTGTGTAACATCATCTTTTGCAACAATAAACGTCAATTACTGTGTCAGACATATTAGTTAAGAAGCAGCATCTTCAAGAGCATCAGGAATTGATTTCCACATTAACTAATTTCCACATTGGGAATCATCTGTATTTTTTACAGTTTTGTCTATTAAATGCATAAATACAATGGATACGTAATGCTTTAACCTTGAACGGTCAGTTCCAGCAGAGATGAGAAGCATACGAGTGAACAGAATGAGTCAATGTGGTCTTGTGTTAGTCTGTCTCTCATCATCATGGATATGGATTAAACTCCCCAGTTTCTGTCTGTTTCACATTCCAAGGTGAAGTTTCAGAGTGTGCCGTTAAAATCAAATTATTAAAAAAAAGAAAGATTACACTTCAGTCTTGCAACGTACTAAGTCTAAATCCAAACATGTCAACATATGAAATCTATTGGCTAGGGTGTAAAAAATGTTTAAAAAAATGAATCGTGCTATTGGGAAAAATATCTAAGCGTTTTCTTTGAATGTTGCGTTGAAAAACTTATACACAAATACACACGGCAGCAATCATTAAAATAGACTCAATACTATTAATTAATACTATCAATAACATTAAAGATTCTTTCCTTTTCTGTTTTTCTATGATCAGACCAATCTGTTAATTCACTGTAGTTATACAGTTACGATTTTTGAAAGTACTTCGGTAAAAATTATACATTTTTTAAGTCCTAAAAGGAAAAAGCAAAAACAAACGCATTTTTTAGAAAGCCAGAGTCTACGCTCATGTTGCATGGAGTGGCATCAGAGAAGGTCTAACTAACAGCAGCAAGTCAGGTATGTATTATTTCCTTCAACAAACTCTGTTTCAAGCCATGAATCTTTCACGTTACAGTCTGATTGGCGCAGGCTAATACAAGAAAAATAGCTGTAAATATCGGTGAACTGATTTCGGATCGGTACTCTGATTGCGACTGTTGCCTGAAAGGGGTCACAGTTCTGCACTGCGAATATAATGTGCGATGATTAGCCCCGCCTGCATTTGTGAGTCCTGTTACTGTGATATTGTTGCCACCAGTGACTGTAATGTGGGCTCTTGTTTGTTGCTCGTAATGCTACATGGGCAGGGATTCATTGATAGCGTTTGGCACCCAGCCTTGCATTGATAAAGCACTTAGCCCAGCCAGTCAGTCTAATATCGCAGACAGTGCTTTGAGTTAGTGGGAGTGTGTTTGTTAGCTGAGCATGCCGTGTAATAATCAGTCAGTCCTTAGCCATCTAATGAACAGTCATCATAAAAAGTTTTTTACATAATCCTGCCATCTAAGATTACCTTAATGCATGTAAAGGCTTGCTGCCGACATGTGCCTCATTACCTTGGTACATTGGTCATTTCATTTCAAGGGTCTGATTTTCATTAACTGCTCTGCCCCCCTACCCCATTAGGAGAATGAAAGCTCGGCTGGAACCATCTGGCTGCCAACTAGACCTCAGGGCTTCTTTATGGCTCCACCGAGCTTCACGAAAGGGAAAGTTGCACTATTAGAGCCTCTTCTGAGTCAGGCCAGAGAGAAATACGGGAGTGTGCCGGGTTTGGGGATTTGGAGGGAGGGGAGATAAATTTAGAAGGAAAAGAGAAACGTTGGTGCAGTGACAGAGGAGACAGGCAGGGAGGCAAAGTTAGACAAAGTCAAATAGAGCCTGAAAGAAAAGTACTCATGAAAAAGAGAGAATAAAAAGGAGAGTACAACTAGCGTATTCGTGCAGTGACAATGCAATTATTTATATCTTATTTCTGAAAGGCAGAGTCTTGACACAAAGATGGGAGATTCATCTATCGATTGCCAATAACACATTGCACTTATGGCTCATACGAGGATACCGCTCATTTAGACCTCAGAAGCCAGGCGAGAGGACTCCCTGCTCCTCTGTACACTTTTTACTTTTCTGATGAGTGGTCTTGTTTTGAAATAGCATCTGCTTACACGTACCAGTTTAGAGTTGTCAACGATGCCTAGTTATCTGCCAGTGCTTTTATTCCCCACTCCCCTTTGCCATCTCTATTCTTGCCTTCTAATTGCTTTTATTTTGATACCGTTCTTCTCTCATCTCGCACAACAGACTGCTGTGTAATCGACCTGGCGTATCTCCTTTTTCGGTGGGTAATAGAGTGCAACACAACAGCACAGAAAACTATCCAGACCATCCTGGAAAGAAACATGTTTTGTTGCTTGTTTTTGTGAGCCTTATCTGATTTTCAACCATTACTGTCCATGCATCATTTATGTAGAAGTTAGCAGTTGGATGAACAGAATGCATAGTAATATTCTTACTGGCTATAGCAGGCCTCTTCATTTAACAGGCTATTATGACCTAGATTACTAAAAGAGGTATAAAAAAGATTAGTAGATACTATCTACTTTGCTTCATACTTTTTGGTGACATCAGGGCGGAGCATATTTAGAACAACTTATCAGACAATCAGCCAATTTCCAAATATTAACTTTTTTTCATATTCATTCAGATTATTCATGAATTAAAGTATAGTACTTTGTTGGCTAAAAGCCTACATGCAGATTTGTCTCACTTTGATTAACAACAGGACAATTACTTAATAATTTATTGATCTTTTCACTTGCGCAGTCTCCACAGGGAGGTCAAAGGTCAACCACACAACAGCCACCTTGGGTCATGGGGGAATTTCACACCTTGTTTGTTGCTTCACTCAGCAACTGTCTCCCTACACCTACACCCTACACCTGCTAATACTTACCAAACACTGTATTTACCGTTAGCTTTGCCATTCATGAACCACACAATGTATTCTTTAAAGTGGAGCTCTCCTACAAACACCCGGCCGACATGCCCAACTGGCAAATAGATACAGCTCCGAGACAAATTCTGAAACTCGAAAAGGGCACATAAAAAAGGGACCCAAGACACAGAGCATCGCATGATTAGTTCCAGCACCTGATGACCCACTCACCTCAGGGTTAAGCTTGCAGAGCTTCAACGAGTAAAGCTCAGAACCTCAAAAAAAGAGAAGGAAAAAGCTGCTGTGCTGACCCGTGTTGGCAAAATGATAGTAATAATGATGCATGTAGTTTAATGGTGGCATGCAATGGCATACAGCGCATATAAATACTTATTTATTTATCACATATGAAAAACAGCTCATGAAAAGGCGGGTTGGGAGTTCCACTGTACATAAGCCCCCCATCCAAAATGTTTTGTAAATATCGGCTCACAGGCTTACTACAGTAAACACGTTAAATTGTGTTGCTTTCAAAAACTATTCTTAGCCTCACACGGAATACGTTCTACTCTGCACATATATGTCTTTTAAAAGGATATTCTAGTATGATGTTTGATATAATGTAGAAAGATATACGTATACAAAATATGAGTACAACATTTATTGATGGTTATCACGAGCGAACCACACCAGCAGCGTTATGGCAAAATGAAATAAACATACAATGATCTAATTTGTTATGTTGATGGAAACAGTTAAGACAAATCAAAAGAAAGAAAAACACCCAAGACTGCTCTTTTAAATCGCCCCAGTGTGCAGGAAATGCAGAGAGCACTGAATGAACTCCCCCCCCAACTAACTTGGAGGAGGCGGTTCCCTCGGCTGACGCTAGGAGCTGTCCGTGGTGCTGAAGCCTCGTCTCTCCATGTGCCGACTGCTCGCGCGGACAGACGGGAATCCGCTTACCGAGCGTCCGCATCAGGCAAAGGCGCCCCTCGCGTTGCGCTCGACCCTCTTCGGCTCGGCTCCACGCTGCGAATTGCAGACCAAGTGTGAACGGTGGTGAACCGTGCGGCTCAGTTTTGGGTCCGTCACGCGATTGAATTTGTCGCTTTTTTTCCTCCCCCCCATCCTCCTTTGTTTTTCTTTAAGCCCTGGAAGTATTCTTTCCCAGCACACGGACGTGTTCTGTTCCTGCGCGAGGAGAGACCTCCACTCAAAGTAGACATGTGTATGAGGCAAGACTCTCAATTGAAGACCCTCTTCGCGGTTTTGGTCCTTACTGCCGCCGTGGCCGACGTGCATGGACGAGGTAGGAACTTGGGGGTTTTGCACGCACTTTGTGGGGATTGTTCCGTGGACTTCCTTTTGTCCAACTGTACGGGGCGAAGGTAGAACCGCGTGCTGGGCAATAACACCGGCTTCACCACGGGCAGATCTACAAGTGTGTATGGGGTGTGCGCCAGCACAATGAACCGTTTCATATAGAATTTATAATTTCCTGTTCTAATTATTCACCATCAAGCTGTTTTGATAAATTATCTGCCCATATTTTAGGCTGCAGAAATAACTCAAATAATAAGCAAGCAGGCAGCATTTATATATATATATATATATATATATATATATATATATATATATATATATATATATATATATATATATATATATATATATATATATATTTATATATATATATAAATATATATTATATATTTATATATTTATATATTATATATATTTATAATCAAGATCCAAGTATTTCCTTACTGCACAGTGTAGCTGATTAGAAGTTACAGACCCTCACATTTTTCGTCAGGGTAATATTATTTAACATTCAGTTACATAACAATTTACTGTCAATAACCTCTTTAGAGTGCTACAACGACACACACACACACACACACACACACACACACACACACACACACACACACACACACACACACACACACACACACACACGCATTTGGCCACAAGCTACAGCTAAAAAAATGAACATACTTTGAACCATATTTAATGATAAATTTTCCCGGTGAGATGCTGGAGTATACAGTCAGGAAGTGACTTGTTTTGGGCATCCAGTTCTGTGTGACAGACGGTGCTCGGTAATAAGACTCTAATCCTCAGGAATTGCTGAAGATTATTGACCAAGCTGTTTGACACAGTTGAGTGCCCGTTGGAAGTGGCGATGCGTTCATGCACAGTGGCCTTGTCCTAATTATTTTTCTATTGTGCCACTGCCCTCACTTTATCATTCTACTATGCAAGCTGTTGGTCTACTTCTATTTTATCTTGTCTGAACGGTTTTAACCATCACCATCACATATAAACATATATATATATATAAATGATATATATCTCTTTGCTTTCTCTTGCACTTCCACATAGACATGCGCCACCTTCCAGGTAGTGTGTGCAGATACATTTTGCAATAATGAAAACAACGTGCACCATATACCTATATATTTTTACTTATTTATCCATCAGGCAAGTATGTCAAAGTATGTTAAATATATAGTACAAATACCACCTTGTCTATTCAAGGATCATATAATACACATCACATCTGCAGCTCAAACAAGTATCTCATTACATTTCCACATACATTTAGCATCAGGTAAAGTAGTCTTTAAAGAAGTTTTTTCTAAAATGTCTTTGTGAATACTATTTCTGCCACCTGTTTTATGTTGAAAATGAATGTGATAACTAAACAATATAGTATTTATGAAAATGAATTCACATTTCCTGCTGATATGTAATGACGGGCAATGTGAAATAACAGAACCCATCCTGGACCATCCAAACAACATTTTACACTGTCAACAAAACCTCTGCTGATGGGTATCTAGATGAGGAAAAGTGCTGCGTCCCTTCAACAAAGAATTTCAGAACCGTGCACAAGCATATGGAAAATCAAGTTGTTTGGGATTCAGGTCAACATCCTCAGAAGACTTTTCATATTGTTTAAATGTTTAATAAACTACTCTGAGTAAACACACAAAGTACAGTAGTGCTTGTAAGTAGACGATGAATGCATTTTTTTTGCGCCGACAAATGCACACGTACCAAAAACACACTTGCTTTGCTGTCCCTCCGATTACTCTAGGGAGGGGAAAAATGCACAGAGCACATTTTTTCTAAAAGCAAAAACAATTTCTCCGCCATTGCTTAGCCAGCAAATGTGAAAGATTTAGTAAATTCTCCCTCTAAACACTTGATTCTCGTAGTTTTGAGTTTGCAAGCAGTGAGCAGTGAGGTCTGATTCTGATTCTGTGGCCCACGCCTGTTGTTGACATGCTTCACTCTGTTACCGAGCAGGGAACACAGATAACATCTATTTCACTGTCATCGCATGAGACATTTTACCAACTGTGACAATAGTTTTTCATCTGTAGTGTGCACTTTCAAATGATTATCTCTAGAAAATGTTCCACAAATAAATGTAGCCTAATGTTTGTTATATGGGTCATCTCAATTCTAAGCAACTGATCTAATCTGAACTAATCTACTTCGCCTCATGAATAAAAGAAAGAAAAAAATATTCATTCATAAATATTAAATCTGATTTAAACAAAAAGACGGTCATTCCATGAGAATTATCATTAAATTGTTTGAATTGAGGTATTTTTTGTGTGAAAAAAAGAGGATGTGAAATTGCAACATGTAATAGTTAAGAGGAGATTGCCACAGGCCTTTAATTATCTTCATGCGATTCTCTGAGCGACACAGTGACAGAACTTGTTATGGACCTTTGCTTGCATAGACAACCTGAAAGCAACAGCTTTAAGCTGTCATAAAAGGTATCCGTCACATTTACACTCTGATGTAGCATGTAATCAGATTATTACTATCACTTAACAGGAGTGTTAAACTTAAAAAAAATACTATTAAAAGAAACATGCCGTGTACCAGATACGGTGTAAAAAGATTCCGAACCACTGAATCTACACTAAGGTAAAAATCTCTCACAGTGGTTGTTACGTTTATTTCCAACTCCATTTGTCTCAAAGCAGCTCAATAATGATTACATTTTGTAAAATTATTCAAATGAGTACGTCTGATAAAATCCGGACACATAATTAATAGCTAATCATGCACCCATTCAGCGTGGAGAGTTTTTGCTGGCCCCGGTACGGCACTTAAAGTTTTCCACAGTAATGACATTCAGCTGAGCCTATTATCTTTATGCATACATATTATCTCCGCCTGTTAACAATGATCTCTGGCCATTGAGGAGCTGAAGACAGGGATGTTTTATGTATCCTAAAGCTCATTAATATGAGTTATGATTTCCTTGTCGATGAACCCTCTTTGACGTGCCACCGGGTGTTTAAGGAATATGTAGGAGTTTTGGTTTTAATTTATCTGTCAAATGTTGCTCATCATACAAATATACTGCAAGTTAGCTTGTATAAAACAACAACTTTGCTTCCTGTTTTCATGTAGATTTTGTCTTCTTTCAACTAAAACTCTCCTGTGATGCAGAAGTGGACCTGATTTTAGGTAATTGTTGGAAGAGGCGCATATTAAAACCGCAGCATAGTTATTGAGACCGAGAACCTTCCTGCTTTGGTTTTGAAACTTTTTACCAAAATGAAATCAAGTTAATTTAACGTTTTAATGAAGTGTTTACTCATTCAACTCCATAGTGTTTTTCTTGCTAACATCACAGGTTTAGACCCTCACTTTCTGTTTTCCAGCCCAAGAGGTGGGGTTCATATTGACACACGGTGGTGAAACGAGCCTATATCGTGGGAATGAGACGGTAATTCTTTCGTATAGATTGCTGCTTTGAGCGATGTGCTTGAAAAATCCGAATGTCCTATAGTTCCAGGGGTGGCAACAGGAATTATTCAGCACCTGTTTGTTGGATTGCCGGTGATTAACTTCATCAAGGGCTATTCAGCATCTGTGTGCTGTCATAATTAGTTTAACTTTCCCAAGGCCTGTCAATGGTAAATGAGAGTCATTATGCCAGAATGCCCCTCTTCAAGGCTTGGCGCCTGCCTGCCTCAGCCCCTCTCTGTGCCTGTCTCGGTCTCTTTCACTGCCTCCTACGTGGAGCTCACAGCTTGGCTGAATGCGACTCATTTTCCACTCTTCATGTGCAAATGCCGCTCTTTTGCTCTGTGAGAATGTTCTATGCATTCTAATTTGAGTCATTGCCTCATATATTTTCTCAAAAGTGTGGAGCTATACTTGTTGAAAGAAAGGAGGATTTTTTTGCAAGGATCTTTTGGGGATTTCATATCGGCTTTTCTTGGAATGGGTCTCCGACAGCTGGTTCTGCCCCAAAGGTGCCTTCACTAGATCAGGCTGTAGTTCAACTCAATCTGCACATCAGTATTAAAATTGAGATTCGCAGGGCGGAAAGCGGTTGGTTTATTTCTTTTCCTCGTATCCTTGCTGTGTGGTCAAAATGCAACATCAGCTTTAAAAATGAGGGCAACCGGCTGTGTTGTATGAATAGTGATATAACTATTTTTTATCATCAGTTTCTTTGTCAGGTTCTCTTTCGTCCACCGTGTTTCATTTAACATTTTGCTTTTCATTTTCTTTTCAGGGATGAGTGGTTGGCATTTGTTTGCTCCTTTGTAATTGAACATTTAGCCGCCCCTGTTTTGTGGGAGACTAACTAATTAACTAAAAGCATTATATCAACAGGATTTTTTCTAATATAATTGCTTTGTTAACATATTGGATAAATATGCATGCACACAACCTGCATGAACTATATTTGTAAAATCTCTAAATGAAATGCCATCAACACTCTCATCATTAAAACATCTGTTCAGATATGTGTTGGCTACTTGACCATCAGCCAATAAAGCAAGAAACAGGAACAGGTTTTACAGGCCGTTAAAACTAAATGTATGAGAAAATACAGAAAAATAAAGCAAAACGTAATTGTTTTGGTGTATAAAATCGACTAATTAATTTAAGCTCTTAACCCTAAGTCTATAATAAATAAAGAATACAGTTATACTTTACAAAACCCTTAATATTCTTAGTCAAGTATTTTCTCATACACCGTTCACATGGGGCATTTTAGATAGACCTGACATATGTTATTTTGTTTAGATAATTATGTAAAACGCTTTTCCAACAAACCTGTGTTTTGGCTCAACACAATCATCTCTTCAGAGATTTAAAGTTAACAGTTTACAATTCATATGTTATCATTTACCCTTTGCAGAGGAGAGACATTTCCTCAGGATCGGACGCAGGCACCCAGCCGCTTATAAAATCCGTCACCCCGAGCAGAGGACTGGGACTGGACCTCCAGCAAGGAGGGCAATTCACTCTGCG